CTTTACTGGATGTCTTAATTGATTCTTGTCTAATATATCATATAGTTAGCTTAATAGTCATAATAATGGAGATCACCATCTTCATCGTTACAATCTTTCTTTTCCTTAATATTTGATACTTGCCTTTTATCATAAGATATATAATTATAATTTACATTTTTACATTATCCCTAGCTAATATTCTAAGAGAAACAGAAAAGGGTAGGACAGGTGGAATCCTTGGCACAATCCTAAGAAATTTCGTGCAATGGCCATAAAGAAAGGCAGGAAAGAAACAAATACACATAAGTTTAGGGTTCACAGAGAGAGCCATTGCAAACAACAAAGGTTGCTACGTGAAGCGGGCCTGTAGAAGCCATCTAGGGAAAGGGACTGCCTTTCGATTTTTGTCATTGCTAATGGCGGCCGTTTTGGATTCTCCCTATTCTATCTTCTGTAATCGCTTTCAAAGTATATTTTACGGATGTGTAAATTGAATTAAATCGAAATAATTTTTTTGAGTTTGGGTTTTACTCGGCTTATGAATTTTATAGTTTTTTATTAAATTTGTGAAACAGGTTTTTATTTATTTCGGTAAAAAATAAAGACTTGTTCTGATTTTTAATCTACAAATTTTCCTTTTCAAGTAGTCTTCATGTCCTCATCGATCTTAAATAATCAAATAGGAAAAGTTAAAACCTATACATGGGGAGCTGAGGGTTACGATCTGAATGGTGGTTCGACTAGAACTTTGAATTATCAAGAACACTAATTGAAAATTTCACTAAATTTGTGATAAATTTGAAGTAAATACCAAGAATAGCGACAGGAGTGATGAACTTACTCGCACATATGTATAAGCGTATATGTGTGTTTAATTTACGTGGGGGACTTGTACGTCTCTCCACATATCAAATAGTTTTGGCAGTTAGTGAAACATAATATCAGAGGAAGAATGTCGTAGCATGCGAAGACAAACACAAGGACAATGTCGTAAGCGTCAAACTTCCAAATCTCCAGATTTATAATATAATAATGCCAATAATAAAACCAAGAGGACAACACACTTGCACAACGATCCATTCTTATGAAATCCTCTGTGGATTCTATCTCATGTTCTTTCAATTATTCATCATTTTAATTAATTCCCCTTTGGATTTTATCAAAAATCGTGTATTTCATTCGTCGCACAGAAAATCGAGGGATCAAAAGTTTGTATTGCGTAGGGCATGTACGTTCTACTAAATGAAATTGACAAATTTTATCATACGTCTCGTTTCTTTAAAAATACTGTGGCAAGGAGAAAAAGTAACAATGTTAACGACAATTGAAACAGAAGAAAATTTAGTAAAATTGTTTAGCAGGTGTGGCATACTAAAATGGACAATTCAAAGTTTCCTTTTTATTGAGGAATCTACGTTGGATACCATATTCTCATATATGCCGCAATTATTAGAAAAAGATATATGTAAAGATATTGACATGATAATTCTACTAAGTGGTCAAAATGAAATTACAAAATTGCCTCAAATAAGTAAAAGTAAAAATCTATTATTCTTTTATTCATCATAAACCTATAATCTATAAGTTTGCTTTAACAGATTGATCCAGAGAAAGTAAACATGAGCAGTGCCTTTAATTTTTTCTTCAAAATTCATTTTCGATCTTCCATAAATTTCCTCCCCCAGTAGTTTTCTTTGGAGAGGGATAATTAGGCCAACACTGGGACGACGTGGGTTAAATTTAAGACACTATACTCTCAGATGTTTTCAGTTGAAGCCAGTTTGAGAAAGTTTGGAGGGTATTCATGTCAGCTCTGTAATGCTTCTGTGTAAACTCGAGGAGGGCTGGCCATGTGAAATCTGGATATATTCTAGGGTTGTTGGAGTCCACCAATTCATTTGGTGGGCTCACCACCTTATCCTTCTTGGGACAAAGAAAGAAAGCAAGCGATTTCCTAGGAATTTTGTTGTTTACCACTGCTCTGTGCAAGCAACTTTTGTATCTTCCATTTGATAGAGCCTGTAAAAATAAACAAAAAAAGCTTTTCAATATTTCAAATTCGAATATCTACCATTGAGTATTAGACAATATTATAAATTAATTAAAAAGCGTGTTCAGTTTACCAAACAAATACTTACCATGAAGGTGTCGCCTATGTTGACAACAAAAGCGTTGAAGTTTGGAGCGATGAATTGCCATTCGTTTTCGACGAAAACTTGAAGGCCACCCACCGTGTCTTGATGGAGGATGGTTAAGGATGTGGGATCACAATGAGGCCCCGTGCCTAAGGTAAGGTCTGGTTTCTGACACGGTGGATAATAGTTCAATCTCATTATCGACTCATTTTCTTCGAAAAACTCTTTAAAATGGCTTCGGCTCACACCAAGGCTCATCCCCAAAAGTTCCATGATCCAAAGAGATACTTTGCTCATTGCATTGCAATATTCTTGGTAAACTTTCCTGCAAATATGCAAAATAGTTTAGAATCGAATTTGAATACTATTTGGTACGTGTTGAAACATATCATTTAACATTTTAAGCTGGAGGGAACATCAATAATAAGTTTGAAAAAATAATTCGTACAGTTGTTTTGTTTCTAAACAAGAAATGAATTCGAATGGTAAGGTTTTTGTACCCTAAATGCACGAAATCTTCGCCTAATGTCTTGTTAAAATACTCTTGGACGACGTGGGATGAGCCCTTTTCTGCAGAGTATCGAAAAGAAAGTGTTTCCTTCCAAGGTAGTTTGGAGGAGAATCTCCCTGTGAAACTGCTAGCATATCCACAATGTTCCCCAAGTTTTCTCTGAGCTTTTTGCTTCTCATAAAGAGGTTGCTCAAAGAAATGGTCCATGTAAAGATGAGCATCCGATATGAGTTTGGCATCTACACCATGATTTGCTACTAGAAAGAAACCGTGCTTTAGACACGCTTCCCCAACCAGCTTGGATGCTTCCGTGGCGGCCGTGGTGTCCCCAGAGAGGAAGCGGCCCAAGTCGACTAGTGGAACATGAAGTTCCTGTGGGTTCGCACAAGGCTTTTCGTGGTCCGGCCATATGAATTGTGAAGGTATATTGGACTCGTGTTTTATCACCAAGGCATCGAACACTATTGACTTCTTTCGCAAATCATCATTCCGTACGTTTCTAGACAGAGACATGGGTGGCTCGCTCGTTAGTGGACTATTAATAGCCATTGCATGAGGTATTCTTTGTTTTCTAAGAGTTGAAATAGCAGACTAGACAGAGAGAGGGAGAGTATTGGGGTGGAAAGAGGGATTGCGAGAAATAAGAAGAGGGAAAGAAGAAAGTTTAAGAAATGTGATAAAGGAAAAGCCAAGGCCGTTCATTGGGGAAATAGGTGAACAAAAATTGGAATCTTTATAGTCTCCCTCTTGAGTATGTCTCACACTGTAACTAAAAAAGAAATTATTTGCAAACAAGGGCTTGTTGAAAATTATAATTGCAAAAGAGGACCAATCAATGAATGAAATTATGGAATGGTCCATAATAAAATTTGTCGTATTTGTAAAGTTGACAGGAAGGCGTTTCCCGATGGAATTTGGCGTTTCCTTTGGTAGGGTGACTACGTACCGACTAACCTCACCAGTTGCATTATGCCTTTAGCTAATGCCTACAACAGTAAAATCAACTTAGGGTAGCCCAACATTTCCATTAACTTAAAATCGATTGTGTGAATATTTTTCTATCATTTCGTTCGATTATCTCAATATATTGTTTTTGTCTATTTTGTTCGATTTGTATACGGTATGTAGCAAAATATAAATGATATAATTCCTCAATTTATGATTATTTATTTTGTGTATCTGGGCAAAGATGTTCAATTTTTCCAGTTAATGAACTCATTTTTTTTTTTTTTGTCATCGTCGTCGCTTTGACATCTTACCAGAAGTCTCTAATCACCTCCTATGTATGTTAGAATATTCATTTATGTGAAAATTTTCCTAATAGTATGATTGTGTAGTAATTGTTGATTATTTACTTTTGAAGTTATTTCAAATTTGTGATCATATAAATAATATCAACCTTTTAATTTATACTTATAAAAAAACTTATATATAATCCATATTTTTCTACTAATATTTCAAAACTATTTTTTTTCTCAAATTCCTTTTCAACCATATATTCTTATAATAAAATATTTTGCACGTAGATTCAGATTTATTTCCTACTTTTTAACCTCACATTCTTGAAAAAATCACTATTCAAAAATACATTTTCTCTTAAAAATAGTAGACAAACATGATATATAATATGTTATTGTTAGACGGTGTTAGGCCTTAATATTCATAGTTTCTAACATGTGAGATTGTCGTACGATAAATTGATGTGATATTTGGATTAAGATGATAAGAAGACAATAAATGCTAGTATGCCAATGAACCAAGTCATAAAGTGGCTAAGGCCGAGCCCCTAACGTAAGAGAAGATCAATCTCAAGGTGTTAATCTTGAGACATCAAGCTTATTAAAGACTTTTATTCAATATGCAAAGAAGTGTGAATCTAGAAGACGAACCTAGGATGTCTAACTTGGTTTGCATAGCTTCCCGTAGAGGAAAAGCAATCCAAACTAGGAAATGTAAACTCATACGAGTATAGAAATCACGCTCGTAACAAACTTATCCATCAATCAGGAACTATGAAAAAATCAAACTGGTTCATTCCGACACTAAAGTCTCGAAACACTCTTAACAAATACCAACTTTAACAAATAAGAGCTAATAGCAGGTGCAAAAGGCAAACTTTAGATAAACTTCACATCAAGCTAAGGCCATGACACGAGACGACCACGGGCATTTCAGTGAGCAACCATTTATTATTAATTCAAATTTTTCTGTCAACATATTTCACTTCGACATCGAGCCTCCTCGCCAATGCATATCCCTTTGAGCAACAATCAAGCAAACTTACCACAGCCCCACATTATCAACATCGACGTAGATAAAACAAAAAAAGTCTGAACATCCAATCTCGTAATTACTACATAAATAAATTTAAAACTCACCACAGCCGCACATAATCAACATCGATGTAGATAAAACAAAAAAAGTCTGAACATCCAATCTCATAATTACTACATAAATAAATTTGATTAAAATAAAAAAATACATACGATTAGTTCGATGATTACGAAGATTAGCAATAGAGTGAGACACCAGTGTAGCCAAAGATTAATGCAAATTTATCAGATGATAGTGATAGAAATAGAAGAAGCATACACAAATGAGATGAGACTGATTGTCGTGTTGGGGACACTAGAATTTTCTAGAGAAAAATGACAAGAAAGAGAGGGCTGCCCCTGTTAGGAAAATAGCTGACCTGATTTAGTACTCCAAACATCATGACCTTTTGTTGGAGGGCACTACTTGTTCAATGCTTAAATCAAACAAGAAAGGCTTATCTCATGTGGGGTTTCAATATGAATATATACATATACATATACTAGCTAGAATGGGGTGGCAGCTTTATTGATTTGAGCAAAAAAATGGTCTTATTATATAAGGAGAGCACTAAAGACTATGGTTCTGTTTGTGGGACAAAGGAGAGATCAATAAAAATTAATTCTTGGTCAGCCATTTAGCCTGGTGTTAAGTATATATGGATTTGGAGTTTAAGTCTCATCATTGTTGCACTAGGCTGTCCATAAACATTGTAGAAATTTTATGGTCATCTAAAGACTTTAAATCTGCAAAGCAGCTATCGATCAAAGAGCTTGGTAGTCGAAAATAAGGATGATCTATCCGAGTTTGATTATCGAGGTAGTTTTTTGAGGTGGTAATATAGTGAAACTTCAATAATTCGATGAATTGGTTAGTAATTATGTGTTGGAAATTTGAACACGAGAAACTAGAATGGGTGTTTATTTACCGCCTCAATACATCCTTTTATTTATGGAGCTGTTTGGGGGAGCCTAAGATCCAAATCATCCAAGCTCTAATGGCTCAATTTTAGTCATGGTCAACTCTTGTCCATTTGGATTCAATACACTGAACATTTAACAAAGAGCTTAAAAAATAAACTAATTCTCAATGCCCTCAAAATACTGCCTTTTTATTATTTCTTTATTTTTATTTTTAAGGATAATTGGTGCAAAACGTTCCTACCTTTGAAGGTTTTTGTGGAAAATGTTCATACCTTTCGTTTTTTTGGCGCAGAACGTCCCTACCTTTCAAATTCTTTTCGCTGAACGTCCTTTTTACCAATTTTTAACATAAAATGACCATTATACCCTCCTATATAAATAAAACAAAAAATAAAATAAAATAAAAATAAAGAATAAATTGCAATCTGCTTCTAAACTTTTTTAAAAATGCAAATCAGTCCAAAAAATGCAAATCAATCTGCTCCTAAACTTTTTTCAGCCCAAATGCGTCCAAATTCCAGCAGCCTCTGACCACCCAAGTCGCTGGACGTTGANCCCAAATGCGTCCAAATTCAGACAGCCTCCGGGCATCCAAGCCTTCGGACGTTGACACCAGTCAAGAGCCCTCCAATTCCCCCTTCAATTAGCACCCAACCACTCCCAATTTCATCAACTGTAGTCGTCGGAATTAATGCCAAAAGTTCACTGTCCTCAAATCTAAAAATCGTTGGAAATTACATTCCGGCCACCCCCATGATCGGAACTCACCTCCTATCAATTGCCTATCACCAGACGACCACACCCATGCCAACAATTTACAACAAACATCAACAAAAAAAATTAATTTCTTGCCAGATTCTTTGCCAGTCGCGACACAGCTTGCGAACTTCTAAAATTCCGACGCCGTCTGGAATACCCATGGTCGCGGACCACCTGGGCTAGGTCCTTCTTCACCAGGCGCACCTAACCCAACCATGGGTCTAGGTCAATTTCGACTTGAAGCCGTTCAATTCGTGGAAGAAATACTATGTTCCAAAAATTGTAATTGGATTTCGACTCGAAATTCTAACAAATCCAAGCAAAATTGTGGAATAGCTTCACCATGATGAGAGGGTGCTGAATAGAGTGGTCTGCGACCATGGGTCAAAGGGACAACGCCGGAATCAGCCAAGTTCAGTGTGAGGCCCGATAGTCGCGATTGCGTTATTTTCAGTTTGAAATTGAACCTATTGGATAAGTGTTTTAGATGAATTGCCCACATGGCTGAGGTCGTCTGGGTGTGGGCAACCGGATGGTGGTGGTCCGCGATCCTGTTACTAGCTGGAGGTGCAACTTCCAGCAATTTGTCTATTTTTCTAGTAGCTGATTTTGCTTGCTGATTTCTGCCGAATTATTGGATGATATGGGGAATTCTTTGGATGAAATTGTAGAGGGTGTTGAAGAGATTGTGTTGGTACTAATGTCCAGAGGTTGTGGCGGTGGAAAATAGTAGATATGGTCATCAGACGATGGAGGTGGTGGAGGGAGGTGGAGGAGAATAGAGAGTGTGTTTTTGTTATTTTTAATATTTTCATAAGTTTTGGACTGATTTGTAGTTTTAAAAAAGTTTAGGAGCAGATTGCAATTTATTTTTATTTTTCTTTTCTTTTCTTTTCTTTTCTTTTTTTATTTATATAGGAGGGTATAATGGTCATTTTATGTTAAAAATTGGTGAAAATAACGTTCAGCGCAAAAAATGTGAAAGGTATAGACGTTCTACGCCAAAAAACGAAAGGTAAGGTCGTTTTTCACAAAAACCTTCAAAGGTAGGAACGTTTTGTGCCAATTACCCTATTTTTAATTAAACTTTGTAATACAGTGTATTATACACATTCTGCAACATGTTTCCTCCATGTCCATCGTCGTCGTCACCCCCACCATTCGCAACACTTGATCTTGCGCCCCCGACATCATTTGTAACATACCATGTTACACCTTCACCATCGGCGCCACCACTTGTAACATTTTGTGTTACACCTCCGTTACCACTTATAACATAGTGTTACACGATTGTCACTATTACCACCTTTATGCCACCATCACCACCACCTTCCTGCACCATAAGCAACTAGTGATGGCAATCGAGCCGAGCGGCTCGTCGGCTCGACCGCTCGGCTCGAACAGTAGCGATCCACGCGCACAGCTC